CCCTTCCACCCACACAGTCAGGCAGTGACCCAGGGGTTGCTGACCCCGTTCTGGTGCTGGTTTGAACTTGACTCAACATTGCCCCACCCTGAATCCGAGCTCGTTAAGCTACTTCTCTCTCCATTTGATATTGGAAGAGCTGCGACTGCACTATGTAGGCCAGCTCGTCAACCTCCCAGGCCAACGTCCCCTCCTGAGCAGCCGAGGGACCCTGGAGGTGCAGTGGTTAAAGCGCTGGCCGGCCGTTCTGAAGATCAGTTGGCATATCCATCAACTGGTGCAGGCGAGGGAGACGGGCCAGGCCAGTCTGCTTCTGTGAGGACCCGCATGCTATGAGGCCTTAGGGCCGGTTCTACCGTTCTACAGAGTCACTGTGAGTCAAAGGGACTTGGTGACAGCGGCTTTGGTTTGGGTTTTTGGTGGTTGAGGACCTTAAAGCTGGAGAGCTGGCCAAGATTCATGAGCTGGCACCCTATTTGCGAAGCAGGGTGCTCTGCGAAATCTTGGGGACAGAATAGGTGGGACAGGCTTGTGGAGGGCACAGGCCCCCGCACCCCAGAGGCCTCTCTGCTCATGTCTCATTCTGCCTGTATCTCCCGCCCTGTGGAGGGGGAGCCTGGGGTGTTCCACCAAGGGTCCAGTTCAGCAGACCCTCGGGGAGCTTCTGAACGCAGCAGGGGCTCGGTGCATACTCCCCAGTTTCCCAGGGGCCCGGTTCTGACAGCGGTCCTCAACCAGCTCGGCCCTAAGTTGACTGCCAAGGTTTCCTCTAGGTTCATTGCTGCCTTTCATGACCAGCATCTTTAGAAACAACACACACGAACGTGCAGGTGAGAACGACGTGAGCAAGTCAGGAGCTGCTGCGCTGCACCTCTGCAGGCTGGATCACTGATGATAAGATTTTAAGTGAACAGTAAACAGAACAGCTCTGACGGGTCGTAAGTTGGGGATGACCTGCATCCTCCAAGGAAAAGCCCTCTCAGCATGAGGAACTCTGCCTGCATCCTGAAGTCCAGGAGCAACACTGCCCCATGGGGACCCCATGCCCAGAGTACCTCCAGCGACCCCCCTCCATGGGCTTCTGGTGAGGACATGGCCGTCCCGGCTCTCCCTGCCACAGGCCACATGACCTGCAGCACACCAGACAGCACGTGTCCTGAGGGCGGATGAGGTCCCAGAAAGCCAGACTGACGGGGGCTGTGCTCACTGGGCCTGACGCCCAAGCTGGTGCTCCTCTCTGGCCAGTTAGCCCCGTCCCTGCGAAGCTCACCTGGTGGGAGTCGATGGCTTTGTGACCCTAGCTGTGTGGCCTCAGGAGGGATGGCACCTCCAGGTCTCAGGTCCCATCTGTTAAGGAGGGGCTCACAACCACACAAGAGGAGCAGTCTTCACTGGTCCTCACCTCCCAGCCTCTCTCCCACAGTCAGCTCAGCTGCCATGGTGACCACAGATGGGAGGAGGCATGTTTGCTGGAGGCTTGGGCAGGGGGCTGCAAGCTGGGGCCAGTGTGGGGTTGGGGAGACCGCTGGGTAGCAGAGGCCACCCACAGGTGGGAGCTCTGACCAGCACTGCCCCTGACAAGCAGGGGGTGGGGGTGCAGGGCTCCTGTGTCTCTGTGGGGTGCTGCAGGGCAGGATGGGAACGTGGATCAGACGGTCAGGCCGAGTGCAACGACGGACAGGCTTGTGCGTCTGGCCTTAACTCCACCGTCACACACCACTTCAAACGGTCTCCAGTGCTTCCCAGATGCCGAGGGGCCCCAGGACGTCTGGATGTTTCTAGTGCAGGGCCCTCCTTCCATCACATGCACACAGGACAGGGGCTCATGTTAGGACCAGGTGCTGCAGCTAAGGGCCAGGAGGCTCAGGCTGGTGCCCTTCCCTGCCTTCTCCAAACCCCTGCAGCCTGCCCTGCCCACCATGCCTCATCCCCATGGCCTCCTACAGGCTTGAGGCCCCTCTCAGCCTGCCTGGCCACATGCTCATCTCTGTTCCCTGCCTGCACCCTTGGCACCTGTCTCTGGCCACATGACCAGGGCAGTGTGCCCATCTCCCACCTGCCCAGCTCTGTGGCGGAACACGCACAGCAGGACAGGTGCTCCTGCTCCCTTGTGCCTGGCCACCTTGGGGTCCAAACTGGTGGCCCAGGAGCCATTGAGGAGGCAGCAGGGGGGGGACACCAAGTGGGGATGGGCTATGACTCCCACTCAGGTAAAAGTCCTGGCTCAAATAAATGCCTGCCTGGCCCAGTGTGCCAGAATGGGGAGGTGGCAGGGGCTCCCCTGACTGTTCTGGAAGCTGGGAGGGGCTGGTACCTGAGACAGCCCCGAGTGGCTCGACCTGGGATCCTCAGAGACGGGGTCCCTGAACCAACTCCTCTTGGCAGGCCAAAGAGCAAAGTGCCCAGTTCCAGGGTGCACAGTACCCCTGCCCTGCTGCACTTCTGAACCACCAAGGCGAGGGCTGGGGGCTGGCTGTTGGGGCCTCAGCAGCACATCTTTGCAGATGTTTTTGGCTGACCCATTTCCCCATCTGCCTCCACCTGCTCCCACAGTCCTGTCGGCCTCGCTTGGTTCTCAGCTCTGACTCCCCCAGCTCTTGGCTAACTCCACCCTCCAGACAGTCATCTTGATTGACAGCTACTTTCCGGCTTCTAGACAACCCTGAACCTTTGAAATCACGTCTCTGACATCACTGGGCCCTTCCAAGGTAAAAACTTGGCATCAAATGAGGAGACAAAACCCAGGACTCAATGAGTCCCTCGGGGGTGTGTGTGTCAGCATTTGGCCAGGTTCTGGTGAGTTCCAGCACGGCAGACCCTCGGGAAGTCAGCATTTGGTTTCTAGGGTCTCTTGACTGGATGACATTATATTCATGTCACAAAATTCTAGACTTGGATGACTCTGAAGTTTCCTGGTGCCACAAACCAACCAGTGTGGATTCTGCTCTGCCTGACGGTGACTCTGCAGGACAGACTGAAGGCCATGACCTTGACCTTCTGTAGCAAGCACTTCAAGTCCTTCTTGCTCTCAGCAAGTAAGGTTGTGTCTTATGTGTAACGCAAGTTGTTGATGAATCTTCCTCCAATCATGATGCCACATTCTTCCTCATAAAGTCTAGCTTCTCAAAGGATTTGATCTGGATAAGGGCTGAACAGATGTGGAGAAAGGATAGAGCTCTGATGCACACCTTTCCTGACTTTAACCCATGTGTATTTCCTTGCTCTGTTTGCACAACAGCTTCTTGTATAGGTTTTAGCTAAGTATAGGTTTTGCATGAGCACAATTAAGGGCTCTGGGATTCCCATTCTTCTGGTATTCTCTGCTTTCAGTAAGTCCATCTGGCATCAGCAATGGTATCTCTGGTGCAATAGATTCTTCTAAATTAAACTTGGACTTCCGGCAGTTCCTGTCAGTGATCCATTCTAGCTGTTTTCAATCTTCAGCAAGATTTGCTTGCATGTGATATTAATAATGTTGTCGTTGTTAGGTGCTGTTGAGTCAAGACTTAAAGTGACCATAAGAACAGTGGATCTGAACCCTGTCCTGTCCTGTGCCATCCTCACACCTCCTGACCACTAGAGCCCATTGTGGCAGTCACTTTGTCAATCCACCTGGTTGAGGGTCTTTTCTCTCCTTCACTGACCCTCTACCCTTCCAAGAATCAAGTCCTCCAAGGAAAAACCCCTCCTAGCAACATGCCTGAAGTCTGTGAGGCAAAGCTGCAGTATCCTTGCCTCTGTACCCTTTCTGAGACATACCTGTGCCTTCTTTTAGCAGTTCAAGGCTCTTCTCCAACACCACAGCTCAAAGGCATCAATTCTTCTTCTGTCATCCTTATTTACTGTCCAGTTCTCAGATGCATAACAAGTGATCAGAAAGACCATGGCCTGAATCAGATACACCTTAGTCCTCAAACTGACATCAGTCCTCAATCATTTAGAGAGGCCCAGACTTTTCTAATGCAATATGTCTCCCGATTTCCTGACTGCTGGTATCAAGATACTATTTGATAATTTTCATATTATGTTAGATCATCTATTTGGAAACGGGGACATCAGTTGGCAAGGTAGTTGTCTTCCATATTTCTTGGCGTAGCCTGCGTGTCCACGGTGGCATCTGTTTGTTGGAACACGACAGCTGATACTCCATCAGTTCCATCAAGATCCTGAGAAGTCGTTGCCACCGGTGTCAAGGTTTCTGTATATTTGCTTGTCTTTAGGGTTTGCTCTTAGGGGCAGGACACATGTTTGCCTGTTTCCTGTCTTGAGGGGACTAATTCACATGCTGTTCATTTTTCTAGTTTAGTAATGTACATGTGGTTGGTTGTCATCTGCTCTTATGTGCACAGAGCTTGTCTGTCAGCTGCTGTACTAAAGCAAGCTTCCACATTAAGAGCGCCAGGCAGGGGCCCAGAAAACACTGCTGTTAGGTAAAAGAATGAACACAGCTCTGACTGAAAGACTTGGGAAGGTGGGTCCTAAGAGTTGTGACACAGCCACGGGGGGCTTGGGCTGGGGTCTGGCCCAGGAGAGGGTGGCCAGGTTTGGTCAAAGGGCTGGGCAGGCAGCACTCTTTTGGATGAGGCATGGGGATTGCACTCATGGGGGTCCCTTGCCCTGAGATGAGGGGTGGGGTGACAGAGGGTTGAGTGTTCTTTGGGTTACAGTCACAGGTACATTCTTAGTGGTTCCCTCTGTATAACTCAGAGCCTGGCCTAGTGTGTTCCTCGCCTCCACTGCCCCACTGCGAGGGCCTGACCATCACCCCTCAGCAACAAAGCCTCCCAATCCCTAGTCCTGGGTGAGCGCTGGGCTCCTGGGGAGCACTCTGGACAGAGAGCAGCCCACTACACCCTGCACAGCCAGCCCTCTCCCAGGGACTATAACTGAGCCCTGACTCTTACCCTTAAGGTTTTGTTGTTGCTATGTGCTATGGAGCTGAGTGTGATCTATAGTGACCCTATGAATAACAGACCCCAAACTCATCCTATCCTGTGTTATTCTCAGCATCTCTGACATATTCAAACTCATTGCTGCAGTCACTGTGTCAATCTACCTTGCTTAGGGTCTTCCTCCCTTTCATTGACCCTCCACCTTTCCAAGTATGATGTCCTTCCTCCAAGAAATAGCCTCTCCTAGCAACACGCCCAAAGTGTGTGAGAGGAAGTTTTTTATCTTTCCTTTTAAGAACCGCTCTGCCTGCACCGTCTCCAAGACATATGTTTGCTTTTTTTGGCAGTCCATAGGATACTCAGAACTCTTCTCCAACACTAGAGCTCAAAGGCATTCATTTTTCTGCTGTCATTCTGATTCACTATCTAGTTCTCGGATGTATAGTCAGTAACTTAAAAGACCGTGGCCCGAATGAGGCACACCTTTGTCATCAACGTGACATCATTGCTCCTCGATAATTTGGAGAGGTCTCTGACTGCAGACTTTCCCAGTGCAGCATGTCTTCTGATCTCCTGACTGCTGGTACCAACGGTGTTGACTGTGGATCCAGGTAAGATGAGCTTGTTGACAATCTCAATCTTTTCTCCATCAATCATGATGTTGTTTATCGGCCCAGCAGTGATACTTTTTGTTTACTTGATAATGAGATGCAATTCATATTGGAGGCTGTATTTTTTGATCTTCCTGCAGCAAGTGCTTCCGGGCCTCTTCACTTGCAGCAAAACAAGCTTGTACCATTTGCATAACGTAGATTATTGATAAATCTTCCTCCAGTTTTAACGTCATAATTCTTCCTAGAGTTTGGCTTCTCAAATACTTTTCTCAGCATGCAGACTGGATAGGCGTGGAGAGAGGATACAACCCTGACACACTCTGTAGTGTCCCTTCCACCCGTCTTTCCAAAGTGGACAGCAGTGCTCACCTGTCTCCTTGAGGGTCTCTATTTTGTGATGACCTTCCACTTGACCAAGTGTGATGGCCTTCTCCAGAGACTGGCCCTTCCCTATAAATGTCCAAAGTACGTGAGATGAAGCCCCATCACTCTTGATTCTGAGGAGCCTTCTGGCTGTACTTTTCCCCAGATACCTTTGTTTGTCCTCTGGTTGCTCATGGTAAAGTCAATATTCTTCACTGACACTGCAATTTAAAGGCTCCGGTTCTTATGCAATCTTCCTTATTCACTGTCTAGCTTTCAAGTACACGTGGGATGCCGGAGAGCCCCATGGCTGGGTCAAATACCTCCTCGTCATCAAACTGACACCTGGGAATTCTAGATACTTAGCTGTGCTCACGTGGAACCTGGCCATGAGCAGTCGCTGGGACGGAACAAGGGGAGACTTTGAGTTTTAAAATCAGGAAAGGAGTGTGGCAGGGTCATATTCTTTCGTCACATCTATTCAGGCAGCATGCTGAGCAAGTGACCGGAGAAGCTGAAGTACGTGGAGAAGAATGTGGCATCAGGAGAGGAGGAATCTCGTAACACCTGTGATACACGGATGACGCAAGCTCGCTTGCTCAAGGTGAAGAGAACTTGAAGCATTTGCTGAAGATCAACGACCACAGTCTTCAGCTCAGGTGACACCTCAACAAAATGTGAAACAAAACGGGCCAGTAAAGAACAGTAGAACAAATGGAGAAAATAGGCACATCGTCAAGGGTTTCATTTTACTTCTATCTACAATCAACACCCATGGAAGCAGAGTCAAGAAATGGAATGACGTACTGCCGTGAGCACATGTGCTGCAAAAGAAGAAAGCTCATGGCCCTTGAGACGGGACCACGTCATAGGTGACCGTCCACTGTGTCCCTGGAGCCTGCCAACCATGTCAGAGGATGCTCATGTTTCTCCCTTGGAGCCACTGCTGCATTTGAACCACCAGAGAGGTGCTACCTTTTTAGTAGCACAACCCCCTACAAATAAGTCTCTTCCAGGGACTCTTAGCTGCAAAAGACCACTTTAAAATGCCAAGGAGCAAGGATATCACTATGAGGACTAAGGTGCACCTGCTGCTGCTGCTGTGTGCTGCTGAGTTAGTTGCCATTCACAGTGACGCTACGTGGCAGATAGTCAAAAACTGCCCCATAGAGTCGCCTGGGCTGTAATCTTCAGAGGAGCTGATTGCCAGGTCTTTTCTTCCGTGGTGTGGCTGGTGGGTTCAAACCAGTGACTCTTTTGGTTGGTAGCCGAGTGTTCAACCACTAATGCAGTAGTAGGTGACTTATTTGTTATTATTTAATGTGACTTATTCAGGTTCTGCACCCCTCCCAGGCCTTTGTATGCTCTGGTCCCTCTACAAGAGGTGGGGGAAACCAGCGCCTGGTCCCCATATCCCGTGGTGTCCCCAGGGCCATGCACTCAGGAGAGGCTGGCTCATACTCTCTGGGGGTGGAGTCAGGGGCCGAGTGGGGAGCTGTCCCTTCTCATGCCCTGACCCCCCATTCCCTCCACAGGTTCATTCTCTGGTGTCCCTGTCCCCTCATTGTAGAGGTGAACCCTCCACGTCCTCACTCCGGAGTTGAAGTCCCCCCACGACTTGTGGACACAGACTGCCCTTATTTTTCTGAAAAGACAAGAAACAACATCGCAGATGTGCTGCTCTGTCCACGATGCCATCTCCACCCGGCAGGACACTTGACAAGTCAGGGGCTCAACAGGAGGACACACGACACATCTGTGCCCTTGGGAAGCCCAGGGCAGCACCCGAGGCCCTGACAAGTCCTGCAGGGAAGACATGATCTGATGGCTTAGCCTTGCGCACAGGCAGCTGCTGGACACAGAACCTCTATTCATGCCCAAACAAAACCCAAATCCTATCTCAGAGCCCCGTGTATGATAGGGCAGAACAGCCCCACAGGGCTGTGTTCCAGCTGTTCTCTGAGGAGAAAGGTGGAGCTCCCATGGGGTAGCTCTGCACTGTCCTGGGGGGCTGTGGAGGCCAGAAGTGGTGGTGGGCTGGTTTTGGTTGGCCAGGCCATTCTGGGGTGCTGCTGGGGGGCTTGTAACTGCCAGCCTTCTTTTTTTTTAAAATTCTATTTCATTATTTTTGTGTGTGTCCCATCAAATCAGATCTGACTAGTACAGGAGGAGATTGTTCCTCCTTCTCTAGCAGAGCATCTGGTGGATTCCAACCATGCACTTCTGAGATTGCAGTGCAGCTTCTTGCCACTAGGCCACCAGAGCTCGCCTAGCCTTCTGATTAGGGGCTGAGTACAGACCGTCTGCACCAGCGGGCACTTCTGCCCCAGGCCCCGTGCATGCTCTCCAGGAGCTTCTTGGGGGTGCTGGGACTGACCACAGCCTTCGTGGTGTCTCCAGTACAAATGGGGGTGTCAGTGGAGGCCCCAGTCCCTGCAGCCTCACTGCCTCCCGCCCTGCCCAGGGGTGCTGACATGCTGCCCGGCATGGCTATGACAACTGCCCCCAGGCTGACCTTTGCACGTCTTTCCGTCCGGCTGCAGCGTGAATCCGACTGGGCAGCTGCAGCGCACGCCGGTGGCCGTGTCCTTGCATGTCCGGTCGCAGCCTCCATTGTTGACGGCACACGTCTCTGGGGAGGAAGGATAGACATTGAACACCTTCAGACAAAGCTGTCACCTCGCCTGAGCAGGTTGGGGGCCCCAGGAAGCTGTTCTGCCTCTGAGCCTCAGGCTCCCCATCTGTAAAGTGGGGTTGCTCAGGGGACTCTGGGACTAGGAAGGGAAAACCACTTGGAAACCATTGAGAACTGTGCACACATCAAGTTCAACACCAGCACGGTCAGGGTCACTATTTACGGACCACCTCAGGGACTGGCCAGGCTGGTGTCGAGCCACCAGGGCCAGATTCCTAGACTCTTGCCTGCCTGGACGTCATCTCTAGGCCCAGCCTGGGGACTAGGAGGCTCTGTGTGTGTGTGTCATCCCTTCCGCTCAGCTTGAAATGACCATGACCTCATGGCTGGGGGCCAGCTCTGGGAGCCCACACCATCCTTCGCCTCCAGCAGCCCCTCAGGCAGCCCCTCTCCCAGGGACGGTAAATCTTAGCGTGTGGTTTCCGTCCACTGGTATCTTGCCTACTTTTTTCTTCTTCTTTCATGAACTCAAAGGGGCTGGGAGGGGCCAGGTCACTGGGCCTTCTCTCCCTGCACATCTGTTGTGCTTTGATCTTGGGGAGACTGGTTGAGGGGGCCACTCGTCTCTGTGCTGGGGACCAGGAGCCACCTGCAGCCGTCCTGTGTGATCTGTGGACGCTGCCTGCTCACCCCGGCTGCAGCTGCAGCCTGGGGGAAGGTCTCCCTCTGGCTTCACTGTCTGTCTGTCTGTCCTTTCAGGGGGGAGTGTAGGGGTGAGTGAGGGCAGGCACGAAGGAATGAATGAACAGCCTGCTCCCTCAGCGCCAGGGCGCCCTGCTGGCAACGAGACGCCATTCATGACGGCTTTCCTTTGAACTTCCACTGGAGAGGGGGGAGAGGGGACCCAACACCCCTCCCTGTGCGCCTGCCTGCATGTGGGTGGGGTGGCTGTGAGGTCCACCTGATGCAGAGGCTGCCTGCCCTCCTCACTGCCAGCATTGTCACCATGCCACCATGGGACACAGGCCGACGGCCAGTGGTTGGGTGCCACTGAGTCAATTCTGACTGGTGGTGACCCCGTGTGTGCAGGGTGGCCCTGTGTCAGGGATTCTCGGGTCAGACAGCCAGGCCTGTCTTCTGAGCTCCTCTGGGTGGGCGTAGCAGTGCAGTGTGTCCCCATTTGAGCACCCAGCAAAGGTGGGGCCCCTGGTGGGGTGAATATGGCTCCTTGGTTACTAACCCTCAGTGAGCAACTTCACGTTTCCCACCAGACCAGACAGACTCTGCTTCTAGGTCAGGGGCACCACCAGGACCTCCTACAGGTCACAGCCTTGTCAGACTCCCAGTCCCCTGCGGGCACAGTGCGTAAGAAGTCAGGGGTCCCTATCTACCAGCCGCTCCTGGGGAGGAAGAGGGTGGGCTCCGGTATTTACAGCCTCGGAACCCGGTGGAGGGCCAACTCTACGGCAGGGGCTCCCAGCTCCATGGCCTGGGGCTCCCAGCTTCACCGCAGGGGCTTTGACAGGTGGGAGCGGCCAGAAGCCAGGTAAGCACGGGCCTCCTTGTGTTCACTAATCTGAAGGGAATGAGGTCACGCGTGGGTTTCACACAGGTGCCAGTGAGACCTGGAAACATCACCCATCACGTGGTGCCAAAGGGGCTGTGACTCAACAGATCCGGGAGCAAACCAGCGAGCGCGTTCACCCAGCAGGTGAGCGAGCTGCACCGTGTTCCCACGAGGCAGCCGAGACAGTGCCCTGGGCCACCTGAGGAGGCGCCGCTGAGCAGCCTCTGTCCCACGGTGGTCTCTGTCCCCATGGGGTCTCTGTCCCCACAGTGGTCTCTCTCCCTACGGTGGTCTATTTCCCATGGGGGGTGGGTCTCTGTCCCCACAGTGGTCTCTGCCCCCACGATGCTCTCTGTCCCATGGCGGTCCCTGTCTCACAGTGGTCTCTGTCTCACGGCAGTCTCTGTCCCCACGGCAGTCTCTGTCCCCACAGAGGCCGCTTAGCATGGACACTTGTCTCTGTGAGCACTAGATTTCGCAGCTTAGTCTCAGCTCTTGCTGGTCCAATTTTCCAGCGTAAGAGCTGGTCCAATTTTCCAGCGTCCTTACAAATCCCAGATCTCCAGTGAGGGGTGAGCGCCTTGAACTGATCACACACTCCCACTCCCCGGAAAGGTCCTCTGTCTTGTCCTCAGAAACCAGCTCAAAGACCACCCTTAGGAACCCATGAGGCCACTGACGCAAGGGCCTTCCTGGGTGTGGGCTGTGTCCTCATGCTCCCAGGACACTGCTGCACCAGCTGTCTATTGGGGCCAGCCTGGGAGGGGCCCTGCCTGGGAGGGGTTCTTCCCGGCAGGGGTCCTGTCACCCCTCAGGGAGGGGCTCCACCTCCTCACTGAGCCAAGCCCTCTGTCCCAGGACGGGGTGAGAGTCAGAAGACTCAGCACCACTGGGCCTGCCCTGGGGGAGCAGTTGCTCAGCAAATGTTTATATCTCTCCAGGGGAGATATATATATATATATATATATTCCCTGCGAGGGGAATCCAGACCCTACCCCAGACTAAAGAGCCCGCTCCTGTCCTTAGTGCTTTCATGTGAGAGAATCCCTCTCTGGAGAGTGAGGCAGAGACAGGCTGGTTCTCCAGGTGCAAATAACACCTCCAAGACTCAGCCTCGGGCAGGGAGGGAGCATCATGGGAGGTGGGGAGGACTCAGGGAGGATTTGTGGAGCATGGGGGTGAGAAGCACATGGGTGGGGGGCACTGAGAGAGGTGGAGGACTCAGAGGTGGGAGTGGAGGATCTGAGGAGTACAAGGGTGGGGAGCACTTAAAGGTGAAGAGCACTAAGAGGGATGAAGAGGACTCTGAGAGGTGGGGAGGATTCAGGCAGGAGTAGAGAATCTGAGGAGCATGGGAGTGGGGTGCACTGGAGGAAGTGAGGAGGATTTGAGGTGCACAGAAGAATGAAGAGCAGTCAGAGGTGAGGAGCACTAAGGGGTAGGGAGCACTAAGATGAGCACTAGCAGAAGTTAGACTCTGAGAGCTGGGGAGGACTCAGGGAGGAGTCGAGGATTTGAGGAGCACAGTGGGGGAGCACTAGGGAAGGTGGGGAGGACTCAG